GGAACATGATGCTCAGGCAGCAGCACGTGATCCAGGGCGCTCCTGTCGTCGTGCAGACGTGGAAGATGCACAAGATGGCCCGAGGGCAAGCAGGCCCCCAGCCCTGGGGCATGGAGGAGTGGACTGGCAAGGGCAAGCCTGGCAAAGGCTGGGACCCTTACGGTGGCGGCAAGGGCGGCGCGGACAGCTGCGCCAAGGGCAAGGCCGGCAAGGAGTGGGACCCCCACGGCCGTCGGAGAAGGAATAGACCCAGATACCGCTACAGTCAAGCAGGGTCGTACAACCAAGACGCTGCACTAAGGATCAATTTGGGTTCGGAAGGGGCTCGATTTTCCTTCGCTTCCTCCATTGCTGTTCCTCTTGCCCTCCTCGGGCACGGAGGCGCTTCTAGGATTCGAGGGCCAGAAAAGGGGTTTCGTTCCTTATCGTTCCTTCTTTCAGTGGCCTATCTGTAAGCATGAGCAGCTCTCCAAGGGCGCTCCTGCATCCTCGCCCCAGGGTGCATCCTGATCCGTAGCCAGAGGCCACAGGACTCCACCTCGGCTTGACTTTGGGCGTCCAAGGGCCTTGCATGCACACCGAGCATCCTGACGGTCCAGTCAAGGCTGGATCGCCTCGAAGTCCTCTGGGAGGAGAAGAATGAGGAGGAGGAGGAGGAGGAAGAGGAAGAGGAGGAGGATGAGAGGAGGATGAGGAGGAGGAGGACTCCAGTACCGGTCCGTACTGGTCCGTAACGGTCACTCGTTGCCAAGGCTGGATTCGCCTCGAAATCTTGGTCAGAACGCACCCCAGGAGAGGTCCGTGGAGTAGCGCTGTCAGTATATGCCTTCATCCCCCCGAGGACTGGGACCCATACGGCAAAGGCAAATCGGGCAAGGATTGGGACCCTTACGAATACGGCAAGGGCGGCGCCGACGGCTACGGAAAAGGCAAACCCAGTCAAGAATGGGATCCTTACGGCGCCAGCAAGGGTGGCGCCGACGGCTACGGAAAAGGCAAACCCAGTCAAGAGTGGGATCCTTACGGCGCCAGCAAGGGTGGCGCCGACGGCTACGGAAAAGGCAAACCCAGCCAAGAGTGGGATCCTTACGGCGCCAGCAAGGGCGGCGCGGACGCAGGCGCCAAGGGCAAGCCCAGCATAGATTGGGGCCCCTACGGCGGCAAGAGCAGCCCAGACGGCGGCGCCAAGGGCAAGCCCGACAGCTACGGCAAGGGCAAGCCAGGTCCTCCCCCCTCCCCATCCCTTCGTTCTCAGTTTTAATGTACCTGCTAGGTCTCATGCAGAGACAAGCGCAGGCACATAATGGGTACCTATGCGACCACCCTTCGGGTGATAAGGAAGTTGTGCGGGGGGAGAGGGGGGGAACCACCATCTGACTCAATCGATCTCACTATCGATCTCACTCAACGGGAAACCACGGGACATTTGTCGATCTCACTGTCAATATCATTATCGATATCATTCAACGGGACACCACGGGACACCACGGGACACCGCGGGACACCTCTCGATCTCATTAGCAGTCTCACTATCGATCTCACTATCGATCTCACTCAACGGGACACCGCGGGACACCACATCGATCTCACTATCGATCTCACTCAACGGGACACCACGGGACACCACGGGACACCACGGGACACTTGTCGATCAAGCCGTCGATCTCACTATCGATTTCAATTTTTGGGACACCACGGGACACCTCAGGGCACCACATCGATCTCAGTATCGATCTCACTATCGATCTCACTATCGATCTTACTATCGATCTCACTCAACGGGACACCACGGGGCACCACGGGACACTGCGGGACACCGCGGGACACCGCGAGCCACCGCGAGCCACCGCCGGACGGACGGACGGAGGAGAATCATTTGTCTTGACTTCGCCCTAGCAGCGGCGGACACCACGGGGCACCACGGGACACCACGGGACACCGCGGGACACCGCGAGCCACCGCCGGACGGTCGGACGGAGGAGAATCATTTGTCTTGACTTCGCCCTAGCAACGGCGGACACCACGGGACACCACGGACACCACGGGACACCGCGGGACACCGCGAGCCACCGCTGGACGGACGGACGGACGGAGGAGAGTCATTTGTCTCGACTTCGCCCTAGGAACGGCGGGTTCACTCCCTCGCGCGACCACACAGCTTCGCCTCGCCCGCACGCGTGACACGAACGAAGCGAAACGATTTCCCGGTTGGGGGTCTCCGTTCCGCTGCGATCTCACCCCCCACTCTCCGATACATCGCAACCTTCAGAAAGAAGATGGGGGTCCAAGGCCGACTGAGTCCGATCCTGACCCCTCGCCGCCAGCATCCCTCCTCAACTGAGGGAGTTGCTCTGGCGGGAGACTCATGACCAGCCGAGCGCCTGGAAGATCACCCTTCAACAATGTTGCGCCGCTTGTTACATGTGCGGCTCGGGTGGCATTTATCCAGCTGCTCGGGTCCACACTTGGTTGTGGCGAAGCCTCCGCATCCAGCGCACCA